ATTATTGACAAAAGAAAGGTAATTGGATATAAGACCAAAACTGTAAGTGAACCAGTATATGAAGATGAAGTTAATATGCAAATGGAAGCTTGTAACGAAATATCCAGTACTAATCCTAATAGCATTTATATTCCAATTGATATATGCATTGAAGATTATAATAAATATAAATTATGTGCATACATTGATAGTGGTTGTTCTACATGTTTTGGAAAAAGATCATTATATCCAGAATTCTTATGGAAAAAGGCTAAAAATCATATGCAAGTAAGAATTGCTAATAATAGTGTCATGATGCATACGGAAATAATTGAGGAATTACTAATAGAAATTGGAGGAGTGCAATGTGTTATTCCTATTTTGTGGGCTACTGATCAACCTAGTCATGATATGATAATAGGAAATAACTTTCAAACATTATACTCTCCATGCACCCAAACCATTGATCAAATTATCTTTACTATTAATGGTCACTCTGTTCCTATATAGAAAATAACAAAGGCTTATACTCATCAGACTATGGAATTTACGCACAGCCACCATGGTGATAGGGTTACACCTACACAACGAGAGGTTGCACTTAGAATTTCTGAGTGTGAATTATCCTTAATAGATCAGATAAGTAAGCAGCAAGAAAAATTATGTGAAAAATAATATTCAACAAATCCATTACAGCATTGGGAAAAGGATAAAGGATTTGCTAAGATAACTCTAACAAATCCGAATAAGATTATTAGAGTAAGAGAAATGGTTTATACCTACCAAGATATATTGAAATTTGATGAGCAAATAAAAGAATTGCTAAATAAGAAGTTAGTTAGGAATAACAAGAGCCCTCATAATAGTCAAGCACTCATGGTAAGAAATCATGTAGAAGAAAAAAGAGGTAAAGCTAGAATGGTCATTAATTATAAACAACTAAATGATAATATTGTATTTGATGGCTATTATATTCCTAATAAAACTGTGTTATTTAATAGAATTCAAGGAGCCACATAGTTTTCTAAAATGGATTGTAAGAGTGGTTACTGGCAAAATAAAATAGAAGAAAGCATACCATTAACTGTCTTTAGTGCCCATCAAGGGCATTATGAATGGTTAGTGATGCCTTTTGGATTAAAAAATGCTCCACAAATATTTCAGAGAAGAATGGATAATATTTTCAGAGAGCTTAATTATTGTTGTTTAGTTTATATAAGTGATATTCTAATCTTCTCAAAAGACTTAGAGCAACATAAGAATGACGTTAAAGTTGTAACTCAAAAATGTGCTAAGCATGGTATAACTCTTGGAAAAGATTAGTGTGTCTATGCTAAACAAGAAATTGAGTTTCTAGGATTAGAAATTAAGGCGGGACAAATAATTTTACAAAAACATATCTTGGAAAAGATTGAAAATTCCCAAATGAAATTGAAGATAGAAAACAGCTAGAAAGGTTTCTAGGGTGTTTAACCTATGCTTCTGATTTCATAGAAAATCTTGCTCTATTAAGGAAACCATTACAACAAAAACTTAAGAAAGAAATAACTTGGAACTGGAAGAAAAGTGATTCCAAATTGGTTGAAGATTTAAAAGTTATGTGTAAAGTTCTTCCTGTACTGACATTCCCTACTAGTGAAGATGATTTAATCCTTGAAACAGATGCTAATAATGAGCACTGGACTGCTGTGTTAAAAATCAAAGAAGGAGAAAGACTCTGCAGATACAGTATTGGAAGTTTTAATAAATTATCCTACAATGCAGAAGGAAATTCTTGCAGTCATTAGAGGGATCGAGAAGTTCTTAATCTTCTTAGCCCCTAAACAATTCTTAATAAGAATAGATTGCAAAGGCATACTTGGTTTTGTTAAAAAGAATTTGTCTAATATGCAAGCGTAAAGGAGACTCCTGCGTTGGCAATTATGGCTAACCAATTTTCATTTACTGTTGAACATATTCAGGGATTAAAGAATTCTTTAGCAGACATCTTGACCAGAGAATTAGCTAATGTCGAAGAAGCTCAAGGTAACACAAAAACCTTCTGCACACCAACTTCAAAAGATGGATGTAGAGAGGAAAACTCTCATTGATGAAACGGAAAAAGCAATGGAGCAGGTTTCATCCTCCAGTTGGGCTTTAATACAAGGCTTGATCATTTCAGTAGAACAAAGATCACGAGATGGGTTAATCAAGGGTTGCCATCGAGCAGTCGAAAGGTTATTGATGTTTGAAGTAACAATCACGTTATTTCAACTCATCCCTAATATACAAAATATAATACTCAATAAAATAAGTGATAACGATTTCAGAACATGGTACAAGCTAGTAGTAACAAGATCCAGTCGATTCTTTGATGTTCGATACCTATGGGGAGAACGAGTAGAGTTTCCTACTAACTCTAAAGTGGCATCATTACGCATCAATCTATATCCTCTTACTGAGATGATCCATTCGTTTAGATACATTACAAAGCCTGGGATTACGGAATGGTATATGCCTTTCATGATTTCCCTACTCCTAATGACTCATTCTTTTCAAAGCTTACGAAGTTCCAACAATATGCATTCAATAAAGTCCAAAAGTTTTGTGATGACAAAAAAAGAAAATCTTCAGCTAGAAGCGAGGGTGCAATGTGCGAACATTGAAGTTGTAGAAGGAAAAGTCAGTCCGCCTCATTATTTGATAATGTTTGGAAAATTGGCATTTAGTACTCAAGATCCCATAATAGTTCGTCAGAAGACTGTTAAAAATGCTACTGAAGCAAGAGCATTGGGATTTTTCTATATTTCACAATATCTCAACAATTTTATAAAAAGAATCGAAAATAATCCTGTTATATTTCATGTTGGTAATACCACAATTGTGGCACCAAACGAGGTGAGAGAATATTTATAGATGGCATGAACAATACTGAGTCAATCTACAAATATTTAGAAGATGTTGAAAGTGGAAAGTTTCTGTCATTCGAAGGCCATGAGTATCTGTTTGAAGCTTTCATGACATGGGATGAATCATATGCTGCCAAATGCGTTGTAGACCTTGGCATAGAAGAAGACAACCCCATGTATGTCCACTATGAAGACAGTAAAGATAGTGAAGGAGGCTTACAAGATTAATGATGGATGAGATAATGAATTTTTGAGCCCACATTAGCAATAATTCAGTTTATTTTCATTGTAGCCACATTTTATTAATTGTTACTGTGTTAAAGCGTCTTTGTAAAAAGGAATGGTGTAGAATGGCTTGCTAAGAATCCTATGTAACTTTAGTTTCCCTATGTAAAGAGACTTAGGCCAAGAAGTAAAGGCAGAGTTAGAAGAGTTAGCTAGAGAATTCCTCTGAAAGCATTAGAGAATCTTCTAGAGTAAAATACTCACCTTAAGAGACAGATTGGTTCTCCATCTCTCTTAAAGTAGAGAAAACTCTAGTTCAGCTTATGTCGGTTTAAGCTTTCAGTCAGTGTGTTGTAATATATGAGTGTTATAATCCTTTCAAATTAAATAAAAGTTTCATTCAAGAAGGGAACGCTATCCCCTTGAACCTTATATATCAAATGAGTTATCTTTCTGTTTAAGAAGTTCCATTATAAACACAATAAGAATTGTTTGATTAGAGATTATGGTCTAAGGTAGGAAACAAATTAGATCTGTGCTGATCTAAAGAAGACAGGGTTGGGGTTAGCACCTTGGTAAAGCCGGGAGCTCAGAACGCCGGAGGTTCCAGTGTCGACTAAGTTCAGTATTGGTCAAAACTCTCTAGTTAAATAATTATTATTGCGAAGTACGGTGGGTTATTAAACTAAAAAGTTAATTTGTTTAGATATATAACTAGTAGAGTTGTGATAACTAGTACCGTTAAAAGTCATTAATCGAAAAACAAGTGATTATTACTCTTTATTATAAAACGATATTGTTAAGTATTTCCTTTAGTAGTACTAATAAATCATCAGTGGTATAATATAAAGTGTCGGTAATATTATTATAAGTTCCAGTAGTATTATAGAGAGTCCCAGTAGTATTGTATAAAAGTCCAGTTTAAAAAAGAAAAAGAAAAAGGGACCACTTGTTATGCATATTCATATACCTCACTAACCTCCCTTTGGAAGCCCCCACCTTGTTCATTCGTTCTTTCACTCCTGTTATTATCCTTGAACAGAATAATAATGATTCATGCTTCTTTTCGGATTTTTTTTTTATTGTACTTGTATTGTACCCTCACTCTGATCTTAAATACTCGCAATATTTTAATTTTAATTTGACAAACTGTAATAAATATCAAAATGTTGGATTAGTGTCAATGTATATTTTCAAATATTACTCTATAATTTTTTCATTATTATGTCAATACATAAGGTCAAACTTGTGCACAAATACATATATATCTATAAACTTATTGCAAGTATTTAAGAACAAAAAGGGCTATTGACTTTTGCCTTCGTCAAGAGATGATTAGTAGATTAGGTAGTGATATATATTGATGATTTTTGTGTTGAGACGGTTGTTAAATGGATAAAGACCTTTGAGATTAAATGAATTTTCTACAATAATAAGACTAACGATGACGCAACTTCAGGAGGATCCAGTCCACGCTCAAGGCTCAATCCATGGTAATTTGGTGGCCACATATATTTGTAACCAGTCCTGATTAAACTCACCTGAGGAGACAAGAGCTCTGTTATGAATCTTATGATGCATGTTTGTTTGTCAATTGTCATGCTGCTGCGTTTATGCAAACAATTTATACAATCTTATATTTCAACAGCCGATTTTTAGAGATGGGGTTATTAGCCAAACCTTGACCCACCAGGGTCTTGGTGCAGTCCTGAAACAACACACGTGTCGATCTCTATGTGCCATGGGTCCAAGTTTTGTGAACTCAACCCAGACCAGACCAGCCCATCTGGATAACCAGACCCAACCCTTCCAAACACCCATATACACCTGACCCATCCAGCCCAGCTCTGCACTCACCACACAACTGAACTGGTCTGTGGCCTGTCATTGCAGTCTGAACTAACAGCCTTGGTGTGGAAATGAGGTCTAATTCATTATAATAAGAAGCTCTTAAACAGTCTCTCTTTAGAACCTTATACAACTTATTGCTTTAGGCAGAAAGCGCCATTGCACCTATATTTGATATCATGGTGCATAACTACACATTTCTTACATATACGGATGCTCGAACATAAAATACATCTTAGCATTGAACTGTGCATTCTTAAAAATGCAAATGCTCGAACATACTATACATATTAGCGTTCAGCCACATACCATGTGATTTCATTCCAGACATAAGGATGGAACGCTGAAATTGTTCCCGTGGATGTCAGCATGCATAATATATTATGTATTGTTAGTAGCTCCCACAGCATTCAAAAGGTTCATACAGCAGCAGCCTTCTTCTCTTCGGCAGAAGTAGCAACTTCCTCTGCATCAATACCAGGTTCACTTCCAGGAATATCTAAACTCAACAGCAGCTTTTCCCACAGCTTGGCAGGCTCCTGTATTTTGCAACTCACACCATTAATTTATTACCAACTAACAAATTTTCTCTAATTGAAATACCATAGAATGCCATTTCAAAATGAAAAATCGAAAGCCAAAGACTAAGTAAAAGGAAGAAGTAGCAGACCTTCCAAGAAACATCTTGAGCCATGCAGTTCTGGATCATCTCTTTCATTGCAGGGGTACGGTAGGTTTTTAGAGCTCTCTTGACAGTTGTGGCTAGAGCGGCTACATCACTTGGGTCAATGGTTTCGCACTGAGGATAAATGAGGCAAGCTTTAGTATTCATGTTCATTAATACAAAGCTTATCAAGCATGTAACTCTTTGAACAGAATCAGCATTTTACTTCTTCTGATGTTCAAGAGATTTTGTTATACTGAAACACGTACTTCCATCCTATAATCACACATCAGAAAAGTTGTAGGGATATTGCAAAAAGTGGTTATATGTGAATAAAAAAATAAATACATAGAAGTGGATGGAGAGTTAAATTAGAAAGTGTAAGAGAGAGCGTAGGAATTGAGAGAAAAAGAAGGTTGGTGTTTAGAAAAGATTAAAAGTAGAATTCATGTCACACGGGAGGGGGAGTTTACCAAAGTAGGTAACAACTTAACAATTAGATTATTACGGGAAGGAGAGAGTAGGTGAGTTTCATCAGCAAATACGTAGTAGTAGTTAAAAAATGTGAATTAAACAACTCACTTCAACATTGAAAGCTCCCATCTGGAATCCAGTGAAGCCTTCCTTGACTGTATCGACTAACCCACCAGTTGATGCTACAATAGGGACCTGCCAAACAAGCATTTGAAAAGGGGACGATAAAAAACATAGAAATCAGTCAATATGCCAACCACATAAGTTCAGCAAGGTTTCAAGACAATACAGTTCCATAGTTCATGGCATGCAATTGGACAAGACCACAAGGTTCAAATCTGCTTGGAATCAATATGTAATCAGCGCCAGCAATAATCATATGAGCCAAGGGGGTGTTAAACTTTGCAACTCCTCTAGCTTTGTCGGGGTACATGGTCTCAAGTTCTTCAAGCTGCTTCTCCATGGTCTTTTTTCCAGTTCCCTAAGGAGAAGACGATAAAACACCATCAGCTTTTGCCTTATGAGAAACAACCATTAAGCATGGAGAGCATGTGAAAAGAATACTTACCAGAACAACGACTTGGACATTCTCTCCGATGAATTCAGGAATTGCTGCAGCAAGAATATCAGAACCTTTCTGTTCCTCAAGTCTACCGATGAAGCCTATCAGTGGAACATCTGGATCAATTGGTAACCCAACTTCTGCTTGAAGGGCTTCTTTTAAAAGTGGTTTTGCATCCATCACCTGGAAGCGGCAGAAAGTTGCACAAAAGTTCCCACATGATGATTAGATTTTTATTTTCTCACAGATACTTGACTAGAAGACCGTAAGGCTATGTTCGACAACCCATTTAAAAAAAATGAAAATAAATAAATTGGGGGTTATTTTAAAGCTAAACCTCAATGTGCTCCCAACAAACAGATCATTTTAAAAGAAAGGGGGAGGAGAAAAGGGTCTTTACCGTTGTGTTGTCATAATTGACATCAATGTATTCATCAGTTAATGGGTTCCAGTCCTGGATGTCTGTGCCATTGGTGATGCCTGTAAGAGTTGCTGTACGACAGGTGTTGTGCAACTCGACACCTTTTGCAGGACCTGAGAGGATTTCCTGAGCATAATTAGGACTGACAGTCACTACCCTGTCAGACTCCAAGATCCCGGCCTTCATCCAATTGATTTTTCTTCCTTTAACAGGCTTAACATGCCTGCACATCCAACGAAATTCCAGGATCAGGAAAAGAAGGAGAAGGTTCTAAAACAAAGTTTTATTGGTTAATATAAAAGGTGAATGTTTCAAATAACAGAATGATGACTTCACCTACCCGTCAATGAAATCAAAGGATCCCCTGAATTCATCAGGGAGGTTGAGCATTGAGAAATCTGAAAAGGCGAATCTCCCTTGGTAAGCTATGTTGTGGATACAGTAGACAACCTGCCATCATTATACATTTCAAACAATCCAGGGTTGGTTTTCACGTCTTGCTTAAGTGATATTTGAGTATAAAAACAAATTAAAGGAGGTTTGCCTTGGCATTCTGATAGATGCCCTTAGATTGGTACATGGACTTGAGGTAGCATGGAAGAAGACTTGTGTGCCAGTCATTGGCAACGAAGACAACATCCTCCCCTGCAAGAACATTGCAACAGCATATGCATTTATAAAATATTTATTATCATGGTGCATGTTGACGAGAATGTTATGTAACTAAGCTAAAAGCTGAATAATACACACCATATGGGCCTGAAAATTTCAGATTGCTGTTCAGATTCAAAATTCTCGGGGCTTCCAAAGCTGCCTGCAGAGAAGGTATTTACAGAACATCAAATGCCTGCTAAGGGCTAGCTAATGAATCAGTGACTACTTTGAAGCTGGTAAAAAACCAACAGAACTTTATGAGGGCAAAATCATTCAAATAAACCAGTGCACAAAGATTATCAAATTTCACAGCTCAATCCTGCAAGTAGAAAAACTCAGATGAATCTGCTAGGGCAGCTAGAAGCACCAACATTTTCCTTCATACTGTAGGAAATATAACAATGAATTGCATTTAAAAATTTACCTGGCAGAGCAAACTGAAACGAAGCTGGTTGTCATCAAAATCCGATCCAGCTGTAGGACCATAAAGCTTGGAACCAGTTTTGCCCCATACCTGAAAAGTTCATGAGAATTAATCAAGTGTTCATAATTTCATATGATACCTGAAAAGCTCATAAGTTCATCAATCATAGTTTCCATGATAGAGTTGGTGCAAACCTTCTCAAGAAAAATTGGATGGTCCACAAAAACACGGTCTACTCCCCTTTTATAACAATGGAAGAATCGGACAGTGAAAAGCATGTCCCCAACTTTCAACTGCAACAGATAATCAACAGTTCGTCAAATCCCAAGCATTTTAACTATCACAGAGAGACATAGACCAGCAAAACATCACAGTATCAAACAGAAGTGTACTAGATTACCTCAACGAGCACACTGGTATCCCATGCATCTTTGTATTGGTCATAGCGAGGTACGATTGTCATGACTCTGTGTCCTCTTTTCTAAAAGATTGGTATAAAAAGAAGAAAAACAATGTTACATGCTAAAACATTAGTCAATACTAACTTAAATCGACAATCAGTCGAACAACAAATCACAAGACTCACAGCCAAAGCTGGTGGGAGACCACCAACAACATCACCAAGGCCACCAGTTTTGCACCACTTATCACATTCAGTAGATACAAATGCTATGTTCATCCCACGTATAACAGCTCTGAATGGCACATCATTCTGAGCTTTGTGCCCTTTGCTCCTTACAGCCTTAGTCAAGGCTTTCGTGTTGGATTTCATCTGTAGCATGTCACCCATGTTCAATGATCTCAACCCATTGTGAGTGGTGAGACGGCTTTTAAGATCAATCTGCGCCAAAGTTGTCTTAGTTTCTGGACCTGCGCAATTGATGCGCGCTCCACTTGACACAAAGTGAGAGGAAGCAACAGATGCCATTGCTTAGCCTGAAACCAATATACATGAACTTAGTATGAGTAAATATTTAAAAACTGATCCAAGACAATTAATTTAATTTATCTTACCAGAAGATTTACTGCAGTTCAAAAGACAAAGAACATGAATAAAGATGAGGCTAAAACATTATCAAAGTGACACCATTACTACAAGGGACGAGATGGGCTGAAAAGATTAATACAACACTAACAGAGCCATATTTAACTACTGATCCTAGACAATGAATTTAAAACATGTTCTCATCAACTTACAAAATTACAAGGGAGTACTAATCAACTTAAATCAGTTTTGATTAGTAAAAACCAATTTTAATCGGTTCACATGGGTACAAATCAAATTTAATTAGCAAATATCATTACAAAATAAGTTGAAGAGAACAAAGCCCTAGCCATTTTACAGATCCCATTTCTTGTAAATTCAACCTTATGTAATTTCTAAATCGTACTCCCTTTGTCCTGAAAAATTATTAGGACAACATTAATCTAACTATAACTCGTGACAACTAAATCGGGATGGAGATAGTAATTTAAGTCACTCCACATGAAACCAACACTAATTTATCCCCCTACCTAACGAGAAAGTTGTCACAATCTCTAACAACGGGTAAATCACTCTAAGAAACATTTTGGTGAGCATAACAATAAAAATGAATACTTTATTCAAACGATAAAACACAAACATTATCACAAATTCACAATACCTCCAAAAGCATATTATATGTTCCTACAAAATTAATTATTTACAAACATTCCCTAATCCCCACGTCAGCAATCTTCTAAAAATTTCAACCTTTTCATTTCCAGCTTTACACACTTAGAAATGCCACTCTCAAAACCCAACTAATGTACATTACCAAATCACAAATTTCAACCAAAATTACCAGGATAAAACAAATCAATTACAACATTTTATGATCAATTCAAAACCAAGAACATAAACATAAACACAGAAATTAAAGTACTAAAGAAAAAAGATGAAAATTTTACCTGAATATTCTAAAAGATGAAAGCTTTGATTGCTGGTTTTTCTGAGAAGAGGACACCCCTTTTGTAGTGAAAATGGGGTGAGTGAGGGATCAGTCATTCAACCTCCACTTATTTGTAGGAGTGTCTACTTCTTTCTCACGTGTTACTATACGTGGCATTTTTTAAACGGTTAAGCTCTATTAGCCTCAATTATTTCTTTAATTTATTTTTTCCTTAATAGGAGAAAATAAATTAGTTTCGTTGTTAAGTGATACATTGCCAGATTGGCCTCATAACTCGGGTGTGAGTAGAAATTAATCTTCTATCTCTTCCCTTTGAAGCCTGGAAATTGCATTTATAATATTTTGATTTTTTATCATCACATGTCATAAACAAGAAGAGATTTTTGTAGTGTCCAAATTCGCTAATTATTTAATGCATTAACTACTATAACAAGCGCGTGGAATGATTTTATGCATTGAGTGCACCATCTGTGCTTTAGTAAAAAAGACACGATGAATAATAGTCAAGTTTGAATTCATTAGTTTCTTAATTTGTCACAAGACTCAAAATTACAGGTTTTTTATTTAACACAAATATACCTTAACAAAATCTTTGCAACAGCAATATTACGAGTGATTTGGTGTTATAGGCAACGTATTAACCAATGGAGCTAAGTGCTCATTTATTTTTTGATTTGTTCAATTTTTCACACAAATATTCTCATATTGTTTCAATTGCTCATAATTAGGTAATAATCTTTCAAACTATTACCATACTCTCCTTTCCAAATTTAGCGGGTGTAGTGTTGCAAAACTAAACACTAACTATACAAGGTAATATGGAGTACATTAAAAAATAATACGAAGGACATTACTAGCTTTAAGAAGTAACAACTTCTTTCTCCATGCTTTTTCTATCTTATCTATACTCCTTCTTCTAAAATATTAATTTACGTGTTTATTTAATTCATTGCAATAAATAAAAAACGGAAGAATATTTCTCCCTTGTCCTAGACTCTAAGAAGGCCACCCTCGTAAAATTATGGGGACAACATTAGAGGTTGAGAAAAACGCAGTACCAATTGGCAAATTGGTCTAAGTTGGCGTTTTGTAATTGTTTCATTTTAATATAATTTTTATTTATTTAGACATGTGTGCCATCAGCCATTTGCTGTGTCCTGTTTCAGAAGATTTTTAGAAGGCATTGCTCAAATTGGCAGAAACTGACGCTCCCCATCCCAAATCATATGAAGTTTTGGGGCCCATTTACTAAGGAATGGGCGGTCCTCATGCTACAAATATTTAGCCCCTCTCATTAAATTTCTACTTATTCAAATTGGAAATTTAGCAATGCAATGGTTGAATAGCTAATTAAATTACTTTTCCGTTCCAAAAAACTTACTAACAATTTAACTTTGAAACTATTTATATACGTAGTATTACGGAGTTAAAATTTGAGTATATAAAATTCAAATGTGCATAATATGCAAGATTAGTCTCAAAGCGTAATAGCACATGTACCGGTAAAACTATTATGAGTATTCAAGAACAAGGAGTAAAATACTTTAATTAGCGAATTTGCCTTGAACAATACTTTTTCCTTTTAAATGATGGACGAATAACCTCACATGTATAAGAATAAATTTGTCTTTATGAAATTTAGTTCTATTCTATATTCAATGCCAAAGATTTATCCTTTTATAATCCTTTTCATCTGCTGTAAATTTCAGTTAAAAACACTTCAAAAACATGTATGAATATCACTTATATCATTATGTACAAAGTGAATTGAACCATATGTAGCATTACATGCATAATTGTATATGATATACTCCCACAACATAATTAGTTTAGTTTCATTAATACTCCGTGTTTCGAGTGAAACAACCGTCTGGACCTTTCTTATGGGCTGAAAACTGGACTCGGCCCAAGTGATGACTGGGACGAGGGTTTCCTGCACAGCAAACACACGTAAACTAGCATCGGGGGTTGTGCCGAGGAAGACCCCTCCGATGCCGAAGTCTGTACAGTGTTTCTAGAGAGAGAAAACTATGCACGAGAATTAATTACTTGAGGCTTGAAGTGAATGAATTGAGAGAGAGAGAAGTGAAGGCTTTTATACCTTACTCACATAGATAAACTGGGCCTTGAAGTCAAGTGGGCTTGCCACGTTGACCGGACCTGATTGACTGGGCATGCTTGAAAGAGGGTTGAACCTTCTTTGGGCTAATAATTGAATCATTTGTGGACCGGCCCAATTGGAGTGAATTGGACCCAAACAACTTGCCCCCCAAACCCGGTTCAGAATTTTGACGAGTGAGGTTTTGACTTGCAATTTGAAGGGTAGCAAATGATTTAATTGCTATTTGAATTTATTTTGGAGTTATTACAATAATAACTGCTGTTTGGAGTTAATGGAGGATGTGGATAGTTTAGTGGGGGATTAACGTGAGAAGAAGATGGAAAGGTGGAGCATTGAAGTGGAGTTAGTGGGGGCTTTAGTGGCGCGGACTCCCAAAATTCCCATTTCTAAAAGTTATTTAGGCCACTTATCCCACCCTCTCTCCTTATTTTATTTCATTAATTTCAAATTTCTTCTCGCTAATCACCGCTGCTAAACCCTTTTCCATTTTTCACTCATATTCAACAATGCGAGGCTTGAAATTGAAATTTGTTGCTCCGCACTTATAGATCGGCAAATTTCGCATTTGATCAAGGTAGTTTTCTTCGAATTTTCTTCGGTTTTCTTGCTTTTTCAAGTACCCCCCCTTTTTTTTGTTTGTATGCACATCCACTGTTGAAAATGGCCGACGACCGTGGAAAAAGAAAAGTGGAGGCTGAGCCGAATGTTGAAGAGGAGGAGGAGGAAGAGGTTCTGTAGTTGATTACGCGGCGGAACTAGCCTTTGGCGATGATGCCACCTCTCAGCGACCAGAACCCTTGGGCTAGGACTGGTGTTGCCGCCGTTTTTAGCGGCTCTGCCATTCACGTCGTCCCCCTGACCACTTTGCCCCCCGGGCTTCAGGATCGGCTAGCACTTTGGCCGAAGGCTTCGGCGACCAAGTCACTGACCCCTGAAGAAAGGGAATGGCAGGACGAGGCTGCAAATGTGGGCATCATGAATTTCCCCCCGTACAACTGGTGGATTGGGAATGATGCCAAATACAATTTCGCCAGGCAAATAGAGATTTTCTATAGGATTATGGAGGAGGATGGGTATTGGTGTCGAATGCCCACTTCGGATGATCGTATTCATCACCCTCCTCCGAGTTACATCGGAGTTTACACTCGTCAGCTGCAGTACCGGCTCTGGTTCCCACTTCACTCTTTTGTAACCCAGGTGTTGAACGGTTACAACATCTCATTGTGCTAGTTGACGCCGGTAAGCATCCGAAGGTTGATGTCGTACCTTTGGGTGTGCTTGTTTTTTGAATTTACGCCGAGCGTACATTGCTTCCATGTACCCACAAGCTTGTGCCGAATGTCCAAGCGAACAAGAATAATGGGCCCAGCTGGTGGCAGATTGAAGATGAGAAGGGTTATCTTTCGGTCTGGCCGAATGATACCTCTGACAAAGACTGGAGGGGTCAATGGATCTGGGTAAGGGTTCCCCAAGACGAAGAACACCCAAATTACTTCAATGCGTCGAGGTACCTGAGAAAACCTGATCCTTAAATGGTTAGCATCGGCCCTGATGATTTCACCCCTCTAGATCTGAAGCAAATGGAACATTTCGGTTGGTCTATAGTGCACGGGGCCGCTAGCTGAATGAAGACTGTCCTTACCACTTGGTTGCCATGCTGCCACTACATATTCGGCGACAAGATGCTGACTGTCGTCGGCCTCAGCCGAAAGTACCAAGGCGGTAAGGAGCCCGACTAGGGTCGAGGGTTTCATATATTTATTTTACTTTTTTGTTTTTTCAACATTTTCTTTCTTCTACGAGGCTAGCTGTTGTTTTACCCTTTCAATGCTGTACAAAAAGAAATCGGGCATCAACTACAGGGTGCTCGGCATCACTCAAAAGAAGGATCCGATCAAAATTACGCCCAAAATCACCGATTCGAAGGATCGGCCGTTCAGCTTGCACGAAAAGAGGCTTCAAATTTCCAGCGCGATTGAATATCAACAACAGAAAGTCTGGTGGGAAAAATGGTAGGCGTGTCGCGTACCTATCAAAAATAACCTAACAGACCAATACTAATGTAGACTGGAAAGTAAGGGTCGGATCCCAAGAGACTAAGGTTCAGGAACAATTAATTAGACTCAAATTTCTACTAAGCAAGAATCAATGATAATCGATAACTAAGGGCCTAAAATATAGGAAAAATTCGAAAATAAACTAATTAAGATGATTAAATCAAGCAATTAAAAACATCCAAGATCTAGCTTCACCACAACTATTATTGATGCAATTGTAATTCTACCCTTAACATACGATTTCAAGTGAACGGGGAAAAGTAAACCCTAATAATTACCAAGGATCTCTCTCGAGTATCAATGGCTTCCCTAACATACAATCAATCCTATTCTCATGGTATCATGCATATTAAAGACATTAAACACATTACTCTCACTTCCCAATTATCAAACCCAACTACTCTCGTGTTGAGAATCAAACCCTAAATTGATTTACTCAAATCCATTTATACCCAACTCTCGCTGTGATAAAAACAGTGGAATAATCGCAATACTATAGTTACGTCTAACCTAGCATTGGCATAATCACAATCAATTTAGCAATTCAATTGTTAAAGTTATTAAAGAATTTAAAGATTTAATTCATGCAACAATAATAATAGGGCTACACTAGATCTTGAATTAAAGAATCTACTCACACATGGTTAAAGAAACGAAAACAACAATAAATAATGAAAACATAATTAAATAATAAAGGATGAGAAATAAATACCAAATCTTGAATAAAATTGAAGGTAGAAACCTTGAATCTTGAATTACAAAACTTAGAAAAGTAGATGGACAACTAGTTCTTAATGAGAGAATAAAAATAATATAAGGCTTAATGAAAAATTAATAAAAAAGAAAAACAAGGCTAAAAAGTATTTATATGAGCCTAAAAAGATAAGAAAAACGGCTAAGCCTTGGCGCACAAGAATCCCAGGAGGCACGGACGTGCCTCTACACGTAGCAA